CGAGGATGATGCTTTTCTGCCCTTTCCGATTACCATAATCCCCTTGCCAAGCAGATGGACAATTTTTCCATTTCCAGTGCATGCAGTCAATGCTACCAATCATTCCAGGAAATCCACGAGACTCAGCTTTTTGTAGAAGCCGTTGCAGGTCCCTGGGCGTAGGTCTGCGCAGGTAGTCCACGGTGTACAGATTTTCCACTGCATCACAAAATCGCACCAAGCTCTCCAAAATAGTGGACTTCCCCATCCGGGCAATCTCATCCACTTGATCAGCAGATGACCCATACGCCAACATTCGTATCACAGCTGTGAACTTTTGCTCGGGAAGCAGCCCCAAATCTCCAGCACAATTTTTCTTTTGAACAAAGTAGTCATCATAATTGCAAATATCATGCATGACTTTATTGAACAAATGGGGTTGCATTCTATATCTTGCTCGAAAATGAACATCAGAGTACAGAGATTGTGGGATAAAATAATCTTCCAGAAGATTCTTACCCCGAGAATGTCTATGTCTGTCCACATTCGATGCCCGGCCTTCTCGTGAACCACGACGGCTCTGGTTTTCTTCCTCCATCAAAGCAACGGCCACACCAAGTTGCTCATCTAGTTCTCTCTGCGCCCTTTTGCTTGCAGCTCTTCTGCGCATTCTTGCTCGCCTTTCTCGCTGTTGCCTATCCAAAACATCTTCCATGTCTGACATTGAGAATGGAGAATGAAATCTAAAATCTGAGAAATGAAATCTAAAATATGAGAAATGAAGATGCAGAGAAGATATGGTGTGGGAGGTATGAGCTGAGCCTCTGGTTTTATAGAAAAATTTAGACAGATAGAGATGACACGTGGCGCAATTTTAGAGGATGAAAATCTTATCTGAAATTTGAAATTCAAATGAAATTTGGAATTGGTAATTTATCTGGAATTTGAATTTCGAAATGTATCTGAAATTCAAATTTTGAATTTATCTCAAATTTGAATTTTGAAATGTATCTGAAATTTGAAATTTATCTGAAATTTATCTGAAATTTGAAACCGAAAATCTTATCCGATATGAATAGTATTGACACGTAGGAACCCAAAAATCTTATCCGAAAATATTATCCAAATTAATTGTTTAAATAAACAAAGTTGTGAAAAAAACAAAAAAATGAATAGTATTTGCCATGGCAAGGGGCTAACTGCTGGAAACACACATTTGCTGGGGGGAGCTAGGGCAGCCACTATTCACGTGAATAGTAACTGCCCTAGGGCTCCCCTTGCCATGGCAAGGGGCTAACTGGTGGAAATGCTCTTAGCCTTAGCCATTTGGGGTGAAGATGCTCTAACAAATGACCTTTTTGTAGTGCCATCGTGGTGACGGGGTTTTCAGTTGTTTCCGATGTAGCTGCCTCCATCTGGTACATGTTTGTCTTGAATCCAAACTACTTTGTTGGATTGACACATCTCCTAGTTCTGATCAACAAACATATGTAGCAAGTTCTAAGGTCATCTCCAGTCATAGGGCTAAATGTAGTCCATGATTAAAAATTTAGCCCTCCAAAATATTAATTTTTTTAAAAATAGTGCAGGACCAAATTTTTCCATCTTCAGCCATGCATGGCTATATTTTAGGGTCATTCATATTTTATTATTTTGAGAAAAACTATGGTACAACACTTATATATTCGACAACTATGTATTGTTTAATTTAATTAAACTACTATTTAGAGACAATATTCCATATATGACAAGATTTCTGATAAGATTTTGTGTCCACGTGGCATGTCTTATCCTGAAGGAATCTTAATAATTTTTCAAGCTATGATTTTCAAGTGACACGTGTTGAATTTTTTACATAATTTTTTCCTTAAATAACAAGAACTGAAAACATTTAAAACATTTAAAAAGTATGTGTGAAAACATTTAAAACATGAATTGAAAAATTTAAAAATTTTAAAACATTAAAACCATTTAAAACATTTAAAAATTGAAAACATATATTTTCGGGCTCCAATGGTCACGACCATTAATTTTTTATAATTTTTTCTTAAATAACACGAATTGAAAATATTTAAAAAGGTGACCACATTTTAAAAATAAAATAAAATGGATGGGTTTCAATGGTCTAACCTCCAACGGTCATGACAATTAATTTTTTTTTTATATAAATTTTTTTTAAACAACATGAATTGAAAACATTTAAAAAGGCAAGTGTACTTTATTTCCATGTTTTTGGACTATCGATATTTCCAAAACCATTGTTATTTTAGACCTTCAAGTGTACTTAGTTAATTTTACATTTTGATTTAAATATTATAGTGTACTCAATTAATGTTAGGGTTCATTTAGCAGAACTCAATTTAAATGGTGGGTGAGAAAATATGATAAGGAGTGAAAATAGCAGCACTCTTTAGGAATTGTAAATCATAGCGGACAAGTTGTTCAGGTTCGCATTTCTATCAATCAAGGACATGCAATTCAAGACGAACTACTTTCTTATTTATTTATTTTTCTAACCTAATTTCTTATAAGTGCTGCTATTTCCACACCTCTGCCTTATTTCCCTATCCACCTTATCTTCAAAATTTTAAAGACAAATTTATCCCTTTGTAAAATGACTTCTAAGGACATAAGGAAATTTTTTTTTAAAAGCATTTCAGATTAAAAAAATAAACTAAAATAAAAAATAATTTAAAAACAAAAAACAAAAACTCTCTCTCCGCTGTTCCTCCACCTTTCAGCTTCATTGTCAGATGTATTTCATCCTCGATGCTAGAAGCCACTGGCACTATAAGACCAAAAATAACAAGCCCATATGAAATGGGTTCTCTCATTTCAGCAACTGCATCTTCAATTTTAGCAAGGCCTCCAACATCGATCAACCCCAATTTTGTGCAGAGGTTGAAGAAGCCATGGTGGAGGAAGAACATTAAGAACATTGTGATTCCTGAAAACTATTTATTTATTTATTTTTTCTTTCCTAAATGATGAAAGGTACTTCCTTGAAAGCATTTAGACTAAGTGTGAATATTGGAATGTTCTACAAATATTCTATGATAACTTATGCCTGAGGTGAGTGATTATTATCAGTGTTATTGGAAGTTGTTTAGCCTTATTCTTTTCGGTAAGTATGCACAAATAACCTTGTTTTTTTAAGGATTTTTCTCAAGCCATGGTGGAGGAGGGTGAAGAGGTGGGGGTTGGTGGCTAGGGTTGGTTTAGGGAAAACAGTGGGGGGGATGGGGGGGGGGTGTGTTGGGTTTTGGTGGGTGAGGGAATAGGATATAAGGTGGAAATAATAGCACTCTTTCTTATTTATTCATAGACAAACTACAAAAGACCTTCTAAACTATAAGGTCATTTTCAAGTTAATGCCTACTTTTGGGAATATTTACAAGTACATACTTAAACCTTTGGAAAAACTACAAATTACCTCTTCCGTTAACCAAACTGTTAATAAATACTGTTCGCGCTAAAACTAAACAGATAGAAATAAAGTTAACTTATAGGTGACGTGGATGGTTTGGACCTGAGAAGCCTTCGGTCCGTGATGTCTTTCCTTGAGACGCAATGCTGGATTCGGTCTAGAGAAAGAAACAGCAGGTGAAGCCTAAGACACAGGTGTGGCACCTGCCGAAGACCCTCCGATGTCAAAGTTAGTGACTAAGAGCAATTCTTATTGATAGTGTGAAAGCACAAGTTAAGTAAACAGTCTAACCTCTTGGCTGGGCTAAGGGGCTCTATTTATAGAGAGCATCTACTTAGTTTCGATGTGGGCGAAGGTTGGTGTGGGTGAGTCGGTCGATGTCACTTACCGACTTGACGACCACATATGAATCGGTGGAGTATGCCGATTGACCTTTCGGCATGGCTCATTGAGCTGGTCTCAGCCTCGTTTACTTTCCACGTGTTGTGACGTGAGTTGCGGGTCAGATATGATACAAACAAATACGTTAAATGATGATGTATCAAACATAGGCCATATTTTTAATAACATGGACTTCTAGGTGGACAAATAAATAATAAAAAATTCGTTATCTTTTTAATGACATGGACTTAAAATAATAAAATCATTGAAATTTAAAAATCAAAAGAAAAAAGAAAAAAACCATCTCTCGTCTCCTCTTAAGCCCATACTCGGCAAAACCAGCCACCCTAGCCCCCTACCCATCCTTCTTGTTCATCCTCAATATCTCCCTCATCTTCCCTCCATAATGCATCAAGATTTGACGGCGGAGATGCCTTTGAACTCTCCTCTACCACCTAGGCTCGATTCTCTGAGGCGTCAGACTACCGTTTTGTAAAACAAGGAATTGGTGTCTTCCTATGACCCTTGCCTGGTCCACATCGCCATGACTCTCGACTTAGTATCTTAGAGGATCCGTATATGAAATTGAAATTACTCAAGCACACTTCTTGCCCCGAAAATGTCTTTCTTCCACTTTTGTCCCCACTAGGGTTTCTTAGATTTTTTGAATTTTGCTGAGATTTGCACCAATGATGTCGTCTTAATTTCATTAGGCTTTAATCAAATTTTCAATTGGGTTGGGTGCATATCTGGGAGAAGATGGGCATATAGGTGCAAGGGTGGAGAATTGGAATTGCAGAGGTTATCTCCTTCCATTAGGTAGCGATCGGTGGGGTGGATTGTGGCAAGGGATAGGGGTGAGTGTTCTTTCTTAGAGCAATTGATGGACAGTGGATGTTGCGGGGAAGACGATGTAGGACGATGGGGACTGATGGTGGGGGTATGGAGTCCAAGTCAAAAAAATAAAGATTTTTTTGTTGTTTTTTAATTATTTAATTTTAAAAACAATTTTAAGAAAAAAGTATAATAATTTATTATTGAATTAACTACAATAAACCCCCTAAACTATGGGGGTCATTATAAACTCATCCTAACCTTTAAAAACTCGTTGACCAATACCCCAACTTCATGGAACCTTTCAAAATACACCATCAATTAGAAAAATCATTAAAAATTTTGTTAACTGCTGCTGTGGTAAAATAGGGTTCCAATTTTAAGCTGATATGGCACAAAAAATTAATAAAAAATCTCAAATTTTTAATAAACTAAGTAAAAACTAAAAAAATTAATTAAATTACAAAAACTTTAAAATATTAATTAAATAAAAAAACTTAAAAAATTAATAAAATAACAAAACTTAAAAAAAAGAAAACAAAACTCAACATTACTCTCTCTCTCTCTCTCTCCATCTCCACCCATCCTCCACACCAACAACCCTAAGAACCCATACTCACCCTCCTCTATGCTCATATTAGTCTCTCCTCCACCCTTCTCTCTTTGTCTCTCTCGGACCCAGCCTAGCCCCAACCCCACTGTCAACGCACTCCGCCCCTCCTCTTTCTCTATGTCTTCATCTCTCTCCATTTCTATGTGGGGTTGGCTATTCGAGGAGGAGATTTGAGCGTCGTTGGAGAGGTTGTGGGGTTTGGGTTCGAGACAACGTCGACATCTGGGTGTGGTGAGAAATCGATCGGCGAGGGTGGATCCAGTGTTTATTGATTTTGTATGATTTTGGGGTCAGGGTCTAGGGTGATGGGGTCGGAAAAGTTGAGGGGTATCCGGGTGCCTAGAGGAGGGTGGGTGTGGGGTGTCGAGGTCTAATATTATCAACTTTCAACCAAAAATAAAAAATGAGGTTGAGGTTGGGGTTGGCTCAGAAATTGTAGATGCTGGGCTAGGGTGTTGGGTGGACAAATTTAGAGAGAGAGAGAGAGAGAGAGAGAGAGAGAGAGAGAGAGAGAGAGAGAGAGAGAGAGATGGATAGGCGAGTTGGCATCGACAGCGGTTCTGGCAGGAAAGCATCGAAAGGCTTGATGTTTGGGCCGCGGAGTTGGGTCGGGGACGATGGGGGGGGGGGGGGGGGGGGGGGGGGGGGGTGGGTGAGTTGCGCTTTTTGTTTCTTTACTTTTCTTTTTTATTTTAATTTTTCTATTTTAATTTGATTTGATTTTTAGTTATTTTAAAGATGATTTTTTATTACTTTTTTTGGCTATGTGGAACCTTGTTTTGCCACATCAGCAGTTAACATAATTTTTAACGGTTTTTCTAATGGAGGGTGTATTTTGAAAGGTTTCATGAAGTTTGTGTACTGGTCAGACAGGTCAATAAGCATTGGATATGAGTTTGTAATGACCCCCATATTTGTCCACATGAAAGCCCGCGTTATTAAAAAATGGAGTCCATATTCGCCACATTAGCATTTAATAGACCTACTAATGGTCTGACTGACAGTCGAAGCAATTTGTAGGTTTTCGAGGGAAATGTGTATATACTTGTAAATGTCCCCAAAAGTGGATATAAACTTGAAAATAACTCTATAATTCGGGGGTTTTTATGTAGTTTGGCCTTTCATTCTAACCATTTGTCTGTCCAAACTCCGAAATAGAAAAGAAACGAAAAGAAAAGAAAAGAAAAGAACAGAAAAGAAAATCTTTTAGGAATTGTTTTGTACTGAAGAAGAGCGTGGCGCTCATCGTGAGGCGAGCGAGTAAAGATAACCCTGAGCAGCAGCCCGTCCACAGCTCCCAAAAACAACAAACCAAAAAACCCAAGAATCGGAGAGAGAGAGAGCATTATAAGAACAAAGTGCCTTGTAATTTGTATGGTCTGAAACAAACATGGCTGCGGCGGGTGTCAAGATAGGAACCGGTTTCGAGACCGTTCCGACTCACCGAGTCACCACCATGTCCATTTCCTCTCTCCTTCCTCCTCCTCCTCACCACACTCTCTTCTTCCTCAGAACCCGCCCTCGCCCCCTCTCTCTCCCTCTCCTCTCTCCTCCACGCTCACGCCCTCACTCTCTCCCTCTCCGAGCTTCCTCCGAGTCTCCTCCTACCTCTCAAGGTGCTCCCTCCCTCCCTCTCTCTCCCTCTCTGTATACGCTTGCATGTTTTTGAACTTTGAAGTGGAAGTTCAGTTTGCAGTGTTCTTATGGTTGATTTAGTTTGTGGGTTTTAATCGTTGTACAACTTGATGAAGATGGTTTGTTTGTTTGATTTGTTTTTGCGCAGCAAATGCAATCGAGAATGTGGTGATAATTGGGTCAGGTCCAGCTGGATTCACAGCAGCAATATACGCAGCTCGAGCCAATTTGAAGCCTCTGGTGTTTGAAGGGTATCAATCGGGCCCGGGGGGGCAGTTGATGACCACTACTGAAGTTGAAAACTTTCCAGGATTCCCAGATGGAATTACTGGTCCTGATTTAATGGACAGGTAAACCAACCAAGTTTATGATTTTATGGAATTACCGGTCCTGACTTGTTTTGAATTCCAAAATCCAAGTTGTTCAGGTGGGAATTGTTAGGAAAGCTGCAATTTCGACTAAAGTGCTGCATAAGAAGCTCAGCATTGTTTGTTTGTGTGTTGTGCAGGATGCGGCGACAAGCCGAACGCTGGGGAGCAGAGTTGTACCAGGAAGATGTTGAGTCTATTGATGTCAAAACTAGACCTTTTACTGTGGAAAGTAGTGAGCGTAAGGTGATATATTATTTTGCACAAGTTTTGGTTTTATATATTTTTGTAATCTGTTTTAATTGGGTTCTTTCAAACTTCACAGAGGTGGCCCTTATGCAGTGTAAAAAATGATTCTAATTGCTAGATGAATGTGGGTTTCCTTTGAAATGAAATTTTGAATAATTTTCTTGTCTCACTGACAATTCAAGCTGTGAAATTCTTTCATGTCAGAGAGGGGGGTATGAGTGCAAAATGAATTTTACATTCTTGTCTACGGCTATAAAGTAATATATGACTGGTAGCATAGTTAACTTTGTAAGTCTTCCATTTTTCTGCAATATTTATGAACATCTGAGTGGCTTCAAGTATGGACATCTGAAGTGCGGATTGGCTGAAACAATGCACAGGTTGATTGATCAACATGGCTGGCTGATCGATTGGCTTGCATAGTTTCAACCAGTCCACCTTCTTTTTACATTTATCCTCAAAGATCCTCTTACTCTGTTCCATTAATAAAACACTCATCATTTACTATAAAGAAATCACAAGTTATAAAAGAAACAAAAAGAAAAAGGTTCACTTTTGCCCAATGTTTAGATTTCTTTTCTTCATCTATAATCCACTATGCATCTCTTTCCAATATGGTAACATTTATCTTCTGATTGTATGCTGAATATTTTACTCATATCCTATTGGCCTTGAGTTTACCATATGTTAATTTTGTCCTTGTACTTCTAATCTGATTCTCAGTTTTGCATTTGCATTTCAGGTTAAGTGCCACAGTCTAATTTTTGCCACAGGAGCTACTGCAAAACGGCTTAGGATACCCCGTGAAGATGAATTTTGGAGTAGGGGAATTAGTGCTTGTGCAATTTGTGATGGAGCATCACCATTGTTTAAAGGGCAAGTTCTTGCTGTGGTTGGAGGGGGTGATACAGCAACAGAGGAAGCTTTATACCTCACAAAATATGCTCGTCATGTTCATCTACTTGTGCGTAGAAATCAACTAAGAGCTTCTAGAGCAATGCAAGATAGGTGAGTGTTGATGAAACCTATCTTAATATGATGTTCTGACCTTCTAAATTACACTTGTGTGGTTGGTCATTGTGGATAACCACATAAATATATACTAAGTGAAATGTTTCTTTTTGTGCTTTTTTCTCATCCTAATCACATTTGTCTTCCTCGGTGTCTCATGTCAGATGGATGGATGTATACCATAATAATTTTTCTCTAAAAATTTTGTTTTATAATTTAAATTTGAGCCTAGCAGAAAATTTTGTTTCATCATTCGTCCACTTATTCATCTGGATTTTGCTTGCCCCTCTACTTCCATATGCAACTTCGTTCACCTTCATGCAGCTACTTCATATGTCACCATCTATATATGTGTTCTATCATTATTTATATTTTTTCTTTTTGAATGTTTTCAAATTTGATTGTCACTGATATTATCTTTCCTTTAGTACATAGTACTATGGATATGCACATTGGTACTTGTTTTGTTGAATAATTAGTGAATGTACTGTATTTGACCATCACAAATGCTATCTGTCTGATGATGACATTGCCTGTGAATGAGCTAATCTGTTGAGGCAGTTTCTAGTCTTCCTGGAAAGGATCTGAAGTTGTAAATTACTTCAATTGGTTTATAAAAAAATTTCTTCATTCATTCTTGTTATAAGCTTCTATCTTTTACCATCAAGCTTGCTTTACATCTATTTGCTTTTTGATCTAGAACAGAACTGCCTTTTATTAAGCTGGAGTAGGAAATTAATGCTTTATAGCTCAAGAAATGTTGAACAGTTCATGTGTATTGTCTATTAAAACTGTGTATTCTCTATGTAATGCCAATGTTTTATAGCTCAGCTGCAATGGAATGTGCAGTGATTGGCAGTAGAATTTTCCTTGTTCTTTTATACCATTCCTCAGTTTTTTAATCTCAGGATAGTTATTTTTGTGTTCTAGATTCTGATTGCCTTCCTTGATGGTGATGAAATTTATACTAATGTATGTGTGAGTTTTCAACTCCCTGAATGTTTGTTTAACAGGTTGATTATCGCGAATGTTTCAGAGTGTACAACAACCCAAATGTCACCTTGCACTTCAACACAGAGACTGTGGACATCGTTAGCAATACGAAGGGCCAGATGTCTGGTATTTTAATTCGAAAACTTGATAGTGGGGAGGAATCTGTGCTTGAAGCAAAGGGGTTATTTTACGGTATTGGTCATTCACCAAATAGCCAGTTGTTGGAAGGCCAAGTTGAGCTTGACAGCTCTGGCTACATCTTAGTAGAAGAGGGTACTGCAAAAACTTCAGTTGAAGGTGTATTTGCTGCTGGAGATGTACAGGTAATGCTGCTAAAACTTCTCATTTTTTTTGTCTTTTTTAAATTTCTTCAGTACGGATGATGTCTACTGTTTCTTAGTTTTTAAACAACAGAAAAGTAATGTACAAAGAATTATTAAGCACATCCGATAGGCACGCCTGATGGGGATTTTTTCTTTGTTGGGTTCTTTTTTTGTTGCATTACATCTGCTGGACCTGCTTCACATAAAAGCAGTTATATTGCTATTCAAATTCAAACTCGTGTTCTGCAGTCCAAAAAGAAAAAAAGAAAAAGAAAGAATGATTAAGCTGTTTTTCTGACCCAAACTTGTTCTTTGCTTGCAAAAATTCTCAGTTAGACTATCTGCAATCCCGTCTCTTTTATCTTATTAGGACCATGAATGGAGGCAAGCCGTAACTGCTGCAGGTTCTGGATGCATTGCCGCTTTATCAGTTGAGAGATATCTTGTGGGAAAAGATCTCATAATTGAGTTTCACCAGGTATTTAACTTCTAATGAAGTTTATATTTTCTGCATGTCTCTAGAAATAATATATTATTTTCATCTGCTGGGTTTTACTTTATTCAGAGGTTTATTAAACCCATACAAGACCTGTAATTGTTTAGTGTCCTCTGGTTGTAAAAGAAATTATTGATAAGCATTCCAACATAAGTTCCATTTAGTTTTGATTTTTATTTGATAATAAAGTTCACTGCACAGTTTATGTTTACTTAATTTTTTCCACCCCTTTGATAGGAAATATAATTATTTTGTCATTTGTCACTGAAATGAATTTTGACATTATTGGCCCAAAAAAAATAAAATACTAAATTATTGAGGAATTTTTTTTTGGTGGGGAATTATTGAGGAATTAATCTAATGACTCTTTGTTTTCTTGGTAAATGGATTGTGGAATTTTATTTGGATCAATAGTTGAATTTATAGCCTGTGATAGCACTGTTCATAAAAAACATCCTTCTCATCTATCTACATTTGACAGCCCAAAACTGAAGAGGCTAAGAAGGAACTCACAAGCAGGGATGTTCAAGAAGGTTTTGACATTACTCTTACAAAGCATAAGGGCCAGGCATGTGTTCTTTTACCTATAAGCTAGCATGATCTAATGATTTCATACTAACCAATCGACGATTTTATTTATTTATTTATTTTTTGGGTTAGATATAAATATTATTAGTTCTATTCTTAGTTAAGTTGTAGTAACTTTTTTTGTATTTGCTTTTCAGTATGCCCTACGAAAATTGTACCATGAAAGCCCAAGGCTTATATGTGTACTATATACAGCACCAACATGTGGTCCGTGTAGGACTTTGAAGCCAATTCTTAGTAAGGTATACAAATTAACTTGTATAAATACCACATGATAATTTAAACTGTCATGAGTACTATGATCTTTATACAGGATGTGAATTTGAATATGAATATTTTTTGGACACGCGTAATTCAATTTATTGTGTGCAAATCACGTCAAGCATTTGGCTTGGGCAAGTTTTAAGATGGTTGCACGTTGTTATAGTTGAAAATCGAAACCAGATTGTGGGAGATCACAATGTTCTTTCATGTGTGAGACACTGTATAAATCAGATATCTGCAAAATTAAGATGTCTTTGGAATGTACCTATAAGCTTGTGTTACCAACTGGCGCAAATACATGTAAGATTCTCATGCAGGAAGCATGATTGACTGTAGCCAGTGGCCTTTGGGCCTAGTGGCATTTTCTTCCTCGTAGAAATTGATATGGGATTGTGGGAGGGTGAGTTCAGGAGTTCAGTTCTTGGTAGTGTATGTTTACTTGGAAACGAGACGTTTGTCTGCCTTTGCACATTTTCTGTGACAGTAAAACATGCTTTATCATATATATCCGTGAATATACATGACCAATAGAGGATGTGGTAATCTTAAGCTTTTTTTTTTCTGATGGCAGGTGATAGATGAATTCGACCAAAATGTACATTTTGTTGAAATTGATATTGAGGAAGATCCAGAAGTAGCAGAAGCAGCTGGAATTATGGGTACACCATGTGTTCAGTTCTTCAAAAATAAAGAAATGATCAGGTTGGTTTATCTCTGTCCATATTTTTGTCCCCAATGTGATCTATTCACCACATATAACTTATCTACAAGGTTGCTTGTTCCTTTGTGGCGCTAATTGTTCTATGCTTGTTTGTAGGACTATATCGGGGGTCAAAATGAAGAGCGAGTACAGACAATTTATTCAAGCAAATAAATGAGAAGATTCAAGACCCTTGGTTGCCTGATGTCCTCATTTTGTAGTTCAATTTTGTTCCTCCCAAACAGGCTAGCTCAATAACACCTTCAATTTTCACAATTGTATCTTGTATTGATCAACTACACTGTAGGTTATTATACATGCAGAGTTGCCAATGCATCGTTATGGTATTCAATTCTCCGATCCTGTATTTCCGCCAATTTGTAAGTTTGGGAGGGTTTAGCTTCTTTTCTGTTTTTATTTTTGCCTATCCCAATCCCATCTTTCCTTGCGAACTGTAGTTATTTCATGTTGATAAACTAATAAAAGTTTCACTTTACACGGATGTTTAGTGTGATCACCCTTAATCTTATACAAAGTGATTTACAGTGAAATAAATAAGTGAATCAAAGAGGAAGAGTACAATTACACTATGGAAGTGGTGATCCAAGACCCTCTTGAGAAGCTAATGGATTAAGAGTTTTGTGCCTCTTGGAGGAGATCAATGGCTCCTTCCTCAATGGAGCTCTTTTGGCTTTGTGTTGAAAATTTGCCTTGGCATAAAGTCTGTGTGTAAAAAATGAAGCTCTCTCCTTGTACTTGAGCACCATATAAAAGATAACTCTTACACAAACTAACAAGGCTGCCAGAGCAGCCAAATCCCACCACTTGGAAATTTTAGGGTTTATCCCATACATATAAAGGAGAACATCCTCACCTTTCAACTTCGGTTCGCCAGGAACTTGAGGGTCAAATTCAAGCCCAATCATGTCATTCTTGAACTGACCCTGAGATAAATTTTAATCAGCAATTAAATGCCAAATCTAAATTAATGGCATGGTAACAAATCTAATTAATGGCATGTTTATTTACCAGGAGCTGCAAAAGTCAGGAATCGGAAAACTTAGATAAGGTAATCAAGGAATTGGAATCATTCAAATACCCATTCCTGATTAGTAACATATCATAAGATGTAATTAAGGAGTCTTTGGAAGGTCTAATATACTTCTTAATACCTGTATTGACCATGCAGCATAGCTGAGGTAGGACATTGGGTAGCGCCAAAAGATCTTCGGAAGGTCAACCAGCCTCCGGAAGAGAAGAGATGGCATCATCATGAATACCTATGCGTATAAACATATTAGATGGTTGACATGTTTGGGAGTGCTTCTGGAAGGGCCAAAAACATTTTTTGATAACTAAAAGTGCTTTTGACAGCGTTTGGCAGAAAAGTTTAAAAGCACCTGCTATGTGCTTCTTTAGGAAGCAAGCGCTTTTCCACGAAGCACTTTAATTTTTTATGAAAATTCAAGATTTTTATAATAAAACTGTTTTTGTTAGAAGCGCTTATGAGCAGAAGTACTTCCTAGAGAAGCAGTCCCAAATGAGCAGATATTGACGTGTCTACTAACACATCATATATTAGTGTATTAATTGATCACATTGCGTGACAGGTGATGTGTCCGTTATATTCATACAAAAGATGAGGTAATAACAATGACATTAGGGTTACCTATACTCTTAGTTACAAATTAGTTACATGACATTTTTTCATCAATAAACAAATGAAGTTTAATGTAAGGCCACAAATCAGGAAACAAAATACCGTTGTACTAGTTGAGATGATATAGTTGATATCCCTAGCATTACTTAGTTGCAAAACACAGTTTTTGTTACGATTTTATAACTGAAAAGTGAGATTTCGCTTACTGTCACCGCAGCTGCGGCTCCTATGCCCATCAAGAGATTTGGAACTACGGCTGCAACGATTAAGGCAGTGCCTTCTGTGACAGCAATGCAGCAGAAGAGATTGAGACAAAAATACAAGTAATGAGAGAAGCCGGAATGGAATTTGACCATGTAGTATAGGATTGTTCCAGAAGAGAATGCCATGGCAACTACGAAAGGAAGCGAGGACAGGAAGTTGGAGAGAACAAACAGAGCATCCCCATAATGCCCACCAAGTCTTTCACGCCTAAACACCTGCAAGCCAACTTTGAAGTTATATACAGTTGAATTTTTGTACTTAAGAGCCCCCCAAAACCCCCAAAACTGTTGTGTTAAGAAGATGGAATAAACAATTACACAAAAAAAAGAGAGGTTGGAATTGGAATAAACTTACACTAATACTCTATGAAGTTTTTGGTGCTTTCATACAAAAATATGAGGTTTCGGAAATTACACTAATTCCTTTATGGTTTCAAATTGTCTTTACAAAACCCATTGCATTAAATTTACGTCTTGAGGTTAATTTTTTCATTTTGAGAAGTTGTTGTGATGACATTAGAAATTTTTGGAAAGAAAATGAACGGAATAGGTTTAATGAAAACTATTTTTAAACTTAAGAGATTGTTAGTGTAATTTCTGAAACCTCAGTTGTTTTATGAATACACTGAAAACCTGAGGGCCATTCAGTGTATATAACTCGATAAACTGTTACTGGTAATGTTCTTTTACCACACTTATGTTGCCAAACTATAGAATCAAACTGATGAATTTTCGCAATTCACACACTAACAATGCAAGTGTCGAGGTGAAAAAAAATCATATGAGCGAATTAAGGATGAGGCTTCATGTCTACCTGTAATTCTTCAATAACAAAGGGTATGCCTCCAATGGACAAGCAGATCATGAGACCGTAGATGAAACCATCACACTTTCCTCTTGCCACGATTGCTTGATAGTTTGTCCCAATCTTGAAAAAGAAAGAGCCAGCACTCACTGCAACTAAAATGTAAAACACACTCCTCAACCAGTAGTACCCAATATCTCTAGACATATTCAGTGAAGATCGGCTAATCAATGTGCATAGCTTCCTCCACCAGCTGCTACTATTTTCTTTGTTTGATTTTGTGGCAGGTTTTTCCTGCAATGTTAAGATTTCTCTCATCCTTTTTCTTGCGTTTGATGAAAATTTGGAGGACTTGTATTCGTTGATGAGTTTTCCTTTGATCTCATCTGTTGTCAAATTCATTTCGGAATTTAAAGAGCCTGATGATCCCTGCCAAGACAATCCCAAAAACAATTCATTAATAATAAAGCAAGCAAAACCAAACCCTTCTGAAGAAAAATTAAAGAAATTTACGTACATAGTTAATTCTTTTAGATATCATAAGTGCTGCGATAACTTGGTCAAAGTCTGAACTAACACATCGAAGGAAGTGGTCTGGAGGATTTTTTCTGGTTGGACAAGGAAATCCGGCATCCGCAAAGAACTGAAGAGTAAGAATTGAAGAAACCATCAATTAATTAGTATGTCTGTCATTATCTTACTTGTTTGAAATATGCGATCGAGGTTCAGAGTAGTCTCAGATTTCGAAAAATGAGATATCGGTGAACTGGCGACTCTATTAAGAAATAATAATCTTACCTGTACAGCCATCTTTGCTTCTCCAAAATAAACAGTTTCACCTCCTGCTAGGAGAAGCAGATCATTGAAGAGATTAAACACATCGCTACTTGGTTGGTGGATGGAGCAAATGACTATCCTTCCATCATGAGCAATGTTTCTTAATGCCCATATCACAAAGAAAGATGAAGCACTGTCCAGGCCGCTGGTGGGTTCATCTAGCAACAAGACATGAGGCTGTGTTAATATTTCAATGCAAATGCTAAGTCTCCTCTTTTCTCCATTACTTATACCCCTCAAATGCCAGTTTCCAATGTTGTTTTCAGCACAATCTTGGAGACCCATTTTTGTGAGGGTCTCATCTACCACCTCATTCTTGTCATCTTTAGTCATTGTGGAAGGAAGCCTGAGATGAGCTGAATATTCTAGGGTTTCTCTGACTGTGAGTGATCCCAGGAAGAGGTCTTCTTGAGTTACATAAGACTGAAAATGCATGCATATCAATATTATAATCAATTAAAAAAAAAGATTAAATACTTAATGTTAATTCTAATTATGCTTACAATGTCTCTGCAGTTTAACCTTCTTTTTTTGCCGTTGAGTATAACGTCTCCGGACATTTTAACATTTGCAGGTAGTCTACCTGTTAATAAATAAGGAATTCTCAAAATATTATAGGCATACCAGAAAAAATAACTCAAGCGTGAGACGGGCTTGGTTATAGGAAAAAATATAATTACACGAAGGGATGTAAGATTACTCCAAGGATCATCCTTGCACAAAAAATAAGTCAAATCAGACATCATTACTCATCTAAATTCTAATAGTGATAGAATAACTAGACAAATGCAATATTTCTTATAAACAATGAAATAATCATGCTGATAATAAAATGTCTCAAAGTTGTCTGATTTGAAGGATTATTTATTTGTAAAGATAATCCATGAATAATGACCTAAAAAATGAATGGTTCCGATAATGAGAGAACATTATGTAGTGGGTCCAAATAAGTAGTTAGCGTCATATTAAGTTACTACCTAGTTAGCCATGCAAAAAAACAAGAAGAGACCCTAGACCAAGCTAGGAGAGAACCAAAGCCTTGCAAAAAGCGAGAGAAACAAAATCCAGCAAAAAAATTAGAGGGGAAAACTCTCCGCAACATATTTGGGGGTGAGGGGGTGAAGCCCGAGACTAATATATATACATAGGGGTTTTTTTTTATTTTATTTAAAATTTAAAATTTTTAATTATATATATATATATATATATATATATATAAAAGTTAAGGATTTCCTTGTTTCAAGGGTTATATATCCGTGCAAAAAGAATTGTCCATATTGGAAATATTCGGTCATCCAAAATGTGCAGAAAAAGGCACAGGTCGTTAGATAAAATAGAAATAAAAATGCGGATAATCAAATGGCTGAACAATTTCTGATTTAGTACTTTTTTTTTGCATGAATCATGATTGAAAGAGAATCTAAAAACTGGATGGTTCTGATAGTTGGATTACAATCCAAAAACCTAGGATGTCCTGTTTTAAGAAGAAGATATCCTTAGGGAAGAAAACCCTACTCTATATACTAATTAGATAGATAAGTGACCAACTGACACCAACTGACCTTTGCTCAAATTGTAGTTGCGTACATTAATTTTGGTGAATAGTAGCAGGA